ACAGCAAACTCCAAGACCAATAAACACAGACCAAGACTCCCAACCAATCAGGATGAAGAAAAAACCATTCTGGCACAGCATAGGCTAACACCAAATTTAAAACAGAAACAGCTGTGAAGGTCTGACTCACAGACGAACACAATACAGAAGCCTGATGATGGCAGATGAGATTCTGCCGAAACGTTGCTACAACTTTAAAAGCACAACTATAATGATGTGGGAAAATACCCGAACAAAGCTGAATAACATACATGTAAGTACCCGCGAAAACTTAAGAAAACAAATATATATACATATACACATACATACATACATATATACATACATATTCTTAAGTTTTTGCGGGTATTTATATGTATTATATTATATATATATGCAGGTCTTGGTGTGTTCGGGTCTTTTCCCATGTAAGATTGAGAGCATCCTGGCAACATTTTGATGAGGTCCCACTCACCATCTTCAGGCTGGTGCTTTTGGCTTCATGCTTGTGCAAGCAAAGTGTGATCAGAGCTGCTGTCTCTCTATAAATACTGTTGGGGAGGTGTGGTGTGCTGGTTCTGTTGTAAGCGGGCTGGTTGGCTGTGTTGTTATTTCTTGATTGGTTGATGGAGTTGATGTTTGCAGATTGGTTGGCTTTTTCATAAGAACTTGTGTGGCTGAGGTACTGGCTGTGTGTCTATCAGCCTCCTGTGTTGTAACGACCTGTGTAATGTGTGATGACCTTCTGAGTTCTATTGTTGTGACATCCTGGGTCTTGTGCTGTAATGTCCTGGGTTGGTGGAGTATGGAATATTGCATCCAATTTTGGATGCCACAATATTAAAAAAAAAAGGTGGTTTAGATTTTAGAAAGAGTGCACAGAAGAGCAACAAAGATGATTAGGGAACTGGAGGAAAAAACATGAGGAACGGTTGCAGGATTTGGGTATGTCTAGCTTAATGGGGGGGAAAAGATTTGGGGTGATATAATAGCAGTGTTCCAATATCTAAGGGATTGCCACAAAGAAGAGGGGGATCAACCTATTATCCAAAACACCTGAAGGCAGAACAAGATGCAATTAATAGAAACTAATCAAGGAAAGAAACAACCTAGAACTAAGGAGAAATTGTCTGACTGAATTAATCAGTGGAACATCTTGCCTCCAGAAGTTGTGGGTGCCCTAACATTAGAGGTTTTTAAGGGGAGATTGGACAACCAATCAAATGGTTATAGGGCTTTCTTCTTGAGCAGGGTTAGACTAGAAGACCTCCAAAGTCTCTTCCAACTTTTTTATTCTGTTAGAACTGTTTACTATTATTTTGGCTTTTTGTTCTTGAAAAATGTGTTAACGTGGTAAAAAATATTTTGTGAAAAAGAAATGAGATGAAACTTTTTTTTTCAAAACTGCAGTTGTAGAGGTCCATTTGAAAATTTCAGTCTTTTTCTGAATCAAGAAAGATCAGCCACTTTATTGTTGTTTTTATATATCTTATTGATTATATTCAATATATGTCATTTTTTTTCTCTTATATCTCTTTGATATGAATGTAGTTTGATCATAATATATCATTCAGATTAAGAAACAATTATTCCCTGTGCAAGTATTGCCATGAGAAACTGATCTATAGTCAGTGAAGAAATGGGACTATATGAATCTTTCCCCTCTTTATACAGTAAATCAAATAGACAAAGGCTTCTTTCCATGACAAGGAGAATTCTTTGAATACTGGAATCTCATTCAGTAGTCAAAGTAAAAGCTTAACCAGAATTTCTTGAAGTCTTATAGTATATTGCAGAATTGCCACCCGATCTTGCAACTATACTCAATTTTCAGTGCCTCTTTAGTATTGTCTTCAATCATAGGCTGATGTAATGATTAATCTTTGCGTCTGTAAATTTTGTAAATAATATATTATTCAGATATGCTTCAGACTTTTCTAAATCAAATGTCTGTTTATTATATAATTAACAATTTGTTCCATTATCTCATTTATTGTAAAAATATGCTTGGTTCCATCTCAAATAGAATAGTGCTGTAGTCCTACTCCTTAATTAGTTGATGAGTCAACAATTTGCCTAACTTACTGCTTTTTAAAAGTATTTCTGTTTAATAAAATTTTGTTTCTTGTAAATTTTAGATCCAATAAATCTAGTTGCTTCCCTGTTTCTTTAATATTGAATATTTTGTTCTAAATACAAAGTTTTATTAAATGTATGTCTTTAGTCTTACTATTTTGGACTGTTTAACTACTATTTCTTTGATCTATCTCATTGAATGCAAAAGAACTGGCTAGGTTTCACTTACTTAATGTAAGTAATACATAATAAAATATAATATAATGCTCATTTTTGACACTTTCTCAGGCTTATGATCCCACCAGTTCTTTGCTACAGGCAGATGGTAGTTGCGACACAAGTCACAAATATAATGTAATATACATTATAATAATAATATAATAATAATGTAATATAACGTAAGTAATACATAATAAAATAGGAAAGATAAAGTAATGTCTGTGAATATCATCCTTAACATCCCCTTTCATATGTCTATAGATTTATCTAACACTTACAAAAGATTATCTTCAAAGCTGAGACTCATTTTTGTATAGCGGTTCAGGCTAGAAACCAGAAGACTGTGAGTTCTAGTCCTGTCTTAGGCACAAAACCAGCAAGGACTTGTTCATGCAATCACCAGGAATCAAGTTTGATTTGAAGGCACTGCCCCCTCCCCCCCAAAAAAAATCCTCCTCCACCACAAATAGATCTAGTCAAGATTCCTCATCACATGATAATATACAAGTGCATCCATTGAAACAAACATTTTGCAAGCTTTATCCTTAACACACAAAATATACAGACAACCCCACTCACTTTCCTACCTGTATCTATGCAGACAGATTGTACGAATATGGTTTAAGAGAGATTTCAGAAACAATTTATGGCATGAGTGACTATGATGTGTATGTGGGCTTACATACTCTAATATACCTCGGCATACTGGCTAAATCAGTAACATCCAGGAAAAATGCTGAATCTGCACTAATAGCCTAGGTGGCAATAATGTTTTTTTTTTAAAAAAAGCATGCCCTTTATAAATTAAGTTATACTTTTCCCTTCAGCCTTGCACTTAAAATATGTTGCTTATGTATCATTCTCTTCTAACAGCATGCTGGAAGTGATTGCAGAGAACATCCAAGCCAAAATTACTGAAAAACAGTAGGGATGTAGATGGTATTTGCAGAAACTGAAGGACTTGAAGAGCTACATAAGAAACATTTGCTTAATGAATCACTGAAAAAAAGGAAAGGGAAAACAGAGAAAGGAGAAAATATTATGTAACTTATGACAGGTCATTAATAACTGGCTGGAGTCCTGAATGTGAACATATCAGCTACAGTTTACTGCACTTCACTGTATAAAGTTTAACATTCAGTGCACTTTGATGCCCTGAGAGACAGTGTGGGGAGAAAACTAAACACTATAATGGATTTTTTTCTCTGTCTGTGTTTATTCATCAGTTATTCATATACATTGTGTGTAATCAGCAAGAGGCTACAACAATAAGGCAGAAAAATGTCACTGGAGCATTCTAAGTGTTGTCAGAACTGACAAATAAAGACCATTTAACATGCTGCCTAGGCAGTCTTAAAAATGCTTATTTTTTGCTGGGGCAATGTAAAATATATTCTACAGAGAGCTGAATTTACTATCAATTGTTAAAGACAAGACAACCTTTCCCATTTTACCTGCATTAAGTAAATTCTTCTAACTAGAAAATATCTGCTTCCAATATTTCTAGTCCAAATGGGAATTATATTGCTTAAATTATGGTTTGTGTCTAGTGCAGCTCAAGTCTTGCTATATTGTGCACTTGAGTGATGGGCCAGTTGTTTTTCATTTTTAGTGGCATCTCATAGAAATGATTGTTAACAATTGCTTCCTCCTGCTCACTGTTCTCAAAAAATTCAGCACTACACAGAGACTTTGCTCCCTATAGTGAATCATTTTGGCATCTCTGCTGCATACAATCTTCTGCTGTTCAAATAATTTAAACACAGATTTTTCTAAAGAGGATTGTAGATTTAAGAGTTCAGAAAGAAGCACGGAGCAAACATCCTACAATGACTCTGTTTGCGCATAACAAAAAAACTCATGGTTTGTTAGTGTGCAACTATATGCACTGCAAGTCTCATTCACTTCTGCTTTACTTATATTGAGAGAAAGAGGAAGTATAAAAGCTCTTGTTCTCAGTCTGTAAATAACTTCCACTTTATCTGTCAAAACCCAGATGAGTATTTATATGAGTATGGCAGTTAATTGAAAAATTGGAAACACTACTTCAAATTGTCAGTGTTACAGTCAGTGTTGTTAGATGGATTCATTAAAGCAGGAACTTCATGAAACCCTCTTTCATTTGAAGAAACATTTCCATCTCTGCTTTAATTGAAAAGTAAAAACACCAGCAAAAAAACTTCCTGTCTTGCTCAAAAGTTATAACATTATTCAAATAATCTTTGTGCATTTTGTTTGAATACAGTAAATTTAACAGTCCTTGAATAGTAAGAATTCATGTTGTATAAACCTAATACCACTCATAACACCACCCACTTCTTCACTGCTGTGATGCATTAGAATTAAGTCTTGGGAATGTTTTACTCCAGAGAAAAGCTTTCTGATTTTACTATCTATGAGTTACCAAATGTAAATATACATGGGATTATACATTTAATTAAAACTAACTGGAGAGATTCTGGCAATGAGCTAATTTTCAGTATATCAGATGTGCAACAGTAAAAAGTTGACTTTGGTACATCTGTTAGATTCATGCCACATTAAAACTTTATATAGCCAAAATTAACGATATCATATTTCTTGATGCATCTTCTGCCGTCCATGATAGTGACAAATGAAAGGGATAAAAATGTGTATAAATTGGAGTTGTTGGGGGACTTTTTGGCTGTGCAAGTGATCTTGGAAATGTAATTTTTTTAAAAATACTACATTTTGCCATTTTGCAGATGAATTCAAGTTCTTTATGAAAAGGCTGCCTATGAACTATTTCCTCAACACATCTGCCATTATGCATTTGTGGACAATGGATTCAAATTTTCAGCATCGCTATGTACAACTGGAATCCAGTATGAAACAACTATTTCTTAAGGCACAGAAAATTGTTCATAAGCTCTTTAGCCTCAGTAAGAGGTGTCATAAACAGCCACTCATCAGCTTGCCAAGACAAAGGTAAGTAAACAAGAGTGGGGGCATACAATCAATCTCTCCTACTGGGGTATATTGTGGAGTGTGTGTGTGTGTGTGTGTACATACATACATATATACTAATAAAATAGGAATGAAATAAGAATGAAAGACTAAAATTCATATGAAAGACTAAAATGCATATGAATAAACAAGAGATTTACAGACGTCATAGAGGTTACAATCTCCAAGATATCAGTAATTGATTGTGAATAACTGAATATATTATATGGTTTGAAAAGCATGGGAATTGCTATTAAGCTATAGACAAAGCATGAATATTAGGAACTGTAGACAGCAGGGTAAGTATTTGCCACAGAATAAAATTATGAACTACAGTAAATACTCTTCATGTCAGTAAGTGTCTGATCTAATATAGAAATACTTTAACATTAAAATGAAGGCCTTATTCATAGAGAAATGGCCACTTTAGGTGTGGTGTTAAGTTATAATCTAAAAATGGTTTCAAATTTGAATCAAATTTTATGTTAGTAAAGCTCTTTTGAATGCTATAGTGTAGCATTCAACAAAATTACCCAATCTTTTATAGAGGGTACTGAAGGCCCTTTCCAATAAGTAGTATATGGTATCCCTACACCAATTAACATATACAAAGCTACTAATTTAGTGTGTTTTAGGGAATGAATGGCTTAGTAAATTTTAAAAAAAATATTACAGGTTGAAATGAGAACTGAACTGGTAAGATTTGTTTTGTTCTGATGTGAATCGTTTCCCCAGACTGTTGAACTTTGCTACCTGCTCTTTACATTTCAGACAATTGTTCAAGAATGAGTTGTGTATTTTACCAATCAGGCCTGGAACAACATTGCCAAATCTCCACACTCTTCCAAATCTGTCAAATCTGAATTTAATCCTTGGTGTTTTCTTGGGTTACTTGTAGTTCATTACTTGTCAATGCCAATCACTTACAAATTTATTTTGAATATGTACTGGAATCATTTGGAAAACGAAGTAAAGTCTGAGTAAAATATTCATTTTTACAGCTGCAATTCTTCCAACCCACAACAAATTTTAGCAATAATTATTTCTAAATAAATCTTTATGATTTTTTTTGACAGGTGGATTTCTAACTATTTCACTCTTTTTTGTTCTTTTTGTTAAGCCCTGTTACAGTATTCCATATATTCCATTCATACTACCCAGTTTTAGTTGGGTAACTGAGTACAGGAACAGCAAGCATTTTAAATTTGTAATTTTGATTTGTTAATTTAACCCCTGAGATATTATTTCCTTGACATTTCCTTTTAGCATGAATGGCTCTAATGCCAATAGAAATAAGAGGAGATTCGCCACCCCTTGTCTTTCCTACTTCAGTATAATACACTGGTGTTATAGAGTTCTGTTTACTATTTACTTGGCTTTTTGTTATCTACAAACACTATGAATCCATGTGGGAAATAAATGGGCAACAACTCATCCTTTTCAAAACTTCAAGAATAAAACTCCATTCTCAGAGGCTTTTTCTGCATCAAGAAAGATCATAATCACTTTTTATTATTATTATTTATCTTATTGATGACTTCCAGTATGTGTCTAGTGTTGTCTCTCATGTAAGTCTTCTGAATATATCATTTCATTTAAAAAATCATTTATTCCCTTTGCGAGTACAGCATGATAATTACATTTGTGAAGTCTGAATAAAACAAAGTCGTATAATTTTTGAATGGCCTTCCTGGCTAAATTAATATGGACCAGATAACGAGATGAAGTATGACCTATAGGGCTGTTATTTTAGGGCACTCCTTCAGTTTTGGGGAATCTATTTCCTACTTAGTTTTTCCTAATAGATTTTATTCAGCAGATTAAGAGTTCTGTTCCTGTTCCTTTTCTTAATCATGGAATTATTCTGAAATTATTTCCAATCCATTTCCTGACAGTTGCCATAGGACATGTCTATATTTCTTCTGAGTAATGAAACAACAAGATTGAGTATTTATGTGTTTCTACTATTTTCTAATGTGATTGTGTGTGTGTGTATGAGAGAGAGAGAGAGAGAGACAGACAGACAGACAAACAGACAGACAGACAGACAGACAGACAGACAGACAGACAAAAGGACAAAATCAGATAAATAAATAAATACATAAATAAAAATGATTTTACTATTATTGTTATATGTTAATACTTCTGTTTCTGTCAACATGTAACAGTAACAATACTGTAACAAAAATTCATTTATGTATTTATTTATGTTTTTAGTATATCTTGTTTTTATGATTAATAAAAACAAAACAGATACTAAATAAATAAATAAATAAATAAATTAATTAATTAATAAATTAAAAGCAACTTACCAAAAATTAGGCAGGCAAGTTGGCTGGTCAGCTACACCAGGGTCCTCGGTCAGGATTAGTCTTTGGAGCTTGCTTTGGAGCTGTGGTGAGGACAGCTGGATGGCCCAAGAGTCAGCACTCGACTAGGACTAGCGGCAGCGGTAGGTGACTGGCAGGGCTTACTGCTTGCCTCTTCACTCACCAATCGATGGTGGAAGGCCAGGTAGCAACAACGGTGCGTTGGGCTATGGGAGAAGATGGTGGCCAAGCAAAGATGGTGGCCAGCCAAAGATGGCAGCTGGGTGAGGCAGGTAGCAAGGGCAGCTGGGTGGCCTGGGAGTTGGCACTCGACCGTGGCAGTGGTGGCAGGAGGAGTTAGGTGGCCAGCGGGGCTTGCTTGCCTCCTTACTCACCAATCGGTGGTGGAAGGCTAGGCAGCAATGGTGCGGTGGGCCATGGGGGGGGGGAGATGGCAGCCAGTGAGGCAGGCAGCTTTGGTGAGGGTGGCTTGGCAGTCCGGGAGTCATCGGGATTCAACCGGGGCTGGTGGTAGTGACAAGTAGGTGACTGGGGCTTGCTTGGAGGTCTCACTTACTAATCCGCATCTTCAGCAATGGCAGCCAGGTGAGGGAGGCAGGCCGGGTGAGGCAGGCTGGGCAAGTGAGGCTGGGCAGGCGAGGGCGGCTGGCAGTGGCAGTGACCGGGACTTGCAGAGCTCTCACTCACCCAGATCAGGCAGGGTGGTGGAAGGCAGGCAGCAATAGTTGGCTGGCTGACACTGCTGCTGCTACTGCTGCTGCAAGCCAGCGATGGCAGTGGATGGGAAAAGGCGGAAAGTGATGTAGTATAAGGAGTGACTGGGCAGATCAGGGCGGGCAGGGGAAAAATGTCATCAGTAATTGTCATCCATGTGTGTGATGTCGCACAAGCGCGATAAGGACTGACTGGGCAGGGAATGGAGGAGCGGGCAGAGATGGGCGGGTCCAGCCAGGGGCTTGTTTTACTAGTTCTCCAAACTACCAGGTATCATAACAATCGGTTCAACTGTACCAGTGCGAATCGGTAGAATCCCACTCCTGCTTATATCTCTTGTGTTAAGGGGGAAGGGGGAATCAGCACTGTTAGAAAAAGAAGAGGAAACTGCAACACCAAGATCTCTTGGAAATCAATGTCTGTCCTCCTCAACCTGCACAATCTAGTGTGTGTAAATTTCATGAACCAATAATTGAACTAATTTCCATTATGGCTATGCTATATCCAAGTTAAACTGCCCAGGAAGGAGAGAGCTTTCATTTTTTTACTTATGAGTGATAAGGGAGGTAATGCTATGATTTAAAAGTGGAATTAAAGCTTTTCAAAATGATAAAATGAATTCAAATAAATAATAAAGCAAAAAAGACGCACTCCTATGGAAAGTTTTCATATTGATTCAACATTTAATCTGAATTTAAGAGGAAGTTAAAGAATTTAAGAAGACTCTTTAGTGTCTAATCAGAAACAGATCTGCTTTCCTGACTGTGACTGTCTCTCTAGCTTCAAAATACAAGACAGCATTTGGGAACAAGGTGAAATATGCTTTAGGTTCTCCTTCATGTCATTTCAGGCTACAATATATCCCAGATGGATTTTCTAATGATGCTGGTTCCCCAAAGGGAAAAAAAAACCAATGATAGCATTTAAGTTCTGGTGGGTAACTTTAAATATGTGTTATGATAAAGTGAAAGATCTATTTCAAAAGTGCTTTATACTTGATAGAAGTCCATAAATTACTGATGCTACATTTCTCTTAAATTATCCTTAGTGCTGATTTCCCAGATTCAGTTAGCCACTTTCCAAGAAAGAAGAAGAGAGGAAAGGAAAAGCAGTCAATACCCTAGACTACTCTCTTTATAATCATGGTTCATCTATTATGATTCCATCCAGTGTCCACTGAACCTATTCACAGTAATGGTAAAAAGAATATTCCTTGAAACTATGTCAAGCTAAAATGTAATTCAGCTTACCACAGTGATTCTGCAGAGGGATTGAAAGCTACATTATGGGAACCATACATTCAAATCAAAAGCATATTTATTTTTCTTATACAAAATAGCAAACCTATGAAATGACTAATATAAATTTGAAAACTTTATATGAGAAGATGTCCTCCCTAACTGATCCCCTTGCCCTGGTTTCAAAGTAAATACCAACCTGAAGCTATCACTGCAAATTTCCATATTCTCTAGCAGTGATAATAGACAAGTATCTTCCCAAGTGTGCTCCAGAGGTCTTTGAGATGCCAGATCAGCTTAAGCCTTGTTGAATGTGAACTATGTGCCTTAGAACATTGTCCCTTGTTTAAATTGTAATACTTTTTTATAACTTTTCATCATTTCTTCCTCAAACTCTAGACAATATAATTGTCAAATCTCATTAAACACAAAATACTTTTAGCTAGCTTGAGATCATTGTACAAGGCAGTTAGCTGAAAGCATCAACAAAAAGACACATTTGAAAAATATGAACAACCATGTAGACAGTTGATGTTTCCATTTAGATCCGGTCACAAATAATCTTTTTTAAAAAGTGTGTTTCTGGCAATATTTTACAAACTGAATTTACAATTCCTGCATAAAGTGAAGTAGTAGATTAAAGTTCTGAATTTTGCTCACTGAGGTACAAATGTCTACAAATTATAATGAGGTTGAAATT